TAAAGACCAAAAATTAACTGGATGTGGTAGAGCATGTTTGCAGTTCCTGCTACTTGGAAGGCTGAGGCGGGAAGGATTGCCAGAGCCTAGCAGGTTGATGCTGGGATGGCCGTGAGTGTGCCACTGTACTTTAGTCTGGGCAACAGAGTGAGACTCCAACTCAAAAACAAAAAACAAAAAACAAAAACCAGTACAACTGATAAACCTCATAATACATACTAGTAATCATGGAAAAAAAGGAAATCAAATATTTATATATATGTAAGATACTGCCATGTATGTACATTTATATTTATAAATATGAAATAGGAAAATTAATAGTACCTACCTCATAGAATTGCTATGAGGATTAAATGATATGATATGTATAAAACTCTTAGCGTATATCCTGATGCATGATCACCATATAGTAAATATTAACTTATCAGTAGTAGTAGTTTTACTATTTATTAGTAGTAATATTAATACTATTAAAATATTGAAAGAACAGAAAGAAAAATAAACATTTTTATAACTATGAATTTGAAATACACTATTTTCTGGAAAATATACATGTCCAGAATAGAATTAGATCATTTGAGTAGCTTGACAATCATGGAAAAAACATTAAAAAAAAAAAAAAGTATAAGAACTAGCCTATTGAAGATGCTGATTTCAGACATTTTCGTGGGCAAGTTTTTTTAAATTTTCTTTAATTTTTGATGTTTATTTTTATTGTAAAATGTAACTTTAAAAATACATAAAATGTGTAGTAAAGCAGTCACAAAACAATCACATAACTGCCATTGTTGAGATAGACCATGTGATTCCTTACAGTTTTGTATAACTACTGTACTGAACTTTATAGTAATAACTTCTTAGCTTTTCTTTTTCATTTTATAACCTTTATGAGTACCCCCTATGCTGTAATATGACTTTGCCTATTTATGTATGTTATATAAATGGAATTGTATTATACATGTCAAGAATGAGGAAAGAATGTTTACTATCATTACTAATCCTAGAATAAAACTGTCAAACAAGGGGAAGACCTCTAAGAGAAGAGTATAAAACTTTATTTAGAAACATTGAAGACAACCTAAATAAATAGAAATGCTTCATGTTTATGGATGAAAAGAATCAATATTGTAAAGATAACAAAAGAAACGCTCTCAACATTTTACCATTAAGTGCAACATTTTACTAACCATTAGGAAGATATCCTTTAAGAGGTTGAGGAATTTTTCTCCTAGTATGCTTAGAGTTTTTACCGTGAATGGATGCTGAGTTTCATCAAAAATTTTCTGCATCTATTGAGATAATTCAATGATTTTTCTCTTTTAGTAAAATAAGAAATTATATTGAGTAATTTCCCTGTGTTAAGCCAGCCTTGTATTTTCTGGAATAGAATTAACTTTTCTCTATACACTGACTTTGTTAATAGTTTCTTTAGGATTTTTCTATATATGATTATGGGTTAGATTTGTTTGTACTTTTTCCTTCTGACAATATTCTTGTTAAGCTTTGTTATTGTAAGGTTACTATAATGTTATAGTGGTCTGTTAAAATGAGTTGGGGGAACATTTCCTCTTTATTGTCTCTGGAAGAGTTTGTATATGATTAAAATCTTTATTTGAACTTTTCTCATCTTGAATGAAGTTAATATTCTAACGAGTGTGGAAATAAATAAGTAAAATACATAGTTAGATTGTAGTTTGTGCTAAGGAGAAAAAAACATTGATGGAGTTATGAAATGTTTGGGTAATGTGTTGAACTTTTAGATTGGTTGGCTAGAGAGTCTTATTGAGAAGGTAAAAGATGATCAATGAAGAGCGGGTAGAAAAGCTTTCCAGGCACAGGATAAGCAAACGTGAAGGCCCTAAGACTGGAGAAGCAGCAAAAGGTCATCAGGATTGAAGTGGAGAGAAGCAGGGGTAGGGAGGAGATGAGGTCAGAAGTTAGAGGGAGGGCGAAAGCCAGATCATTCAGAACTGTGAGGTCATAGAAAAACTGTGGCTTTTATCCTGAGATGAGAGGCCATTGCAGGATTTTAAGCAAAGGAATGACATCTTACCTAGCTGTTAGCACTGTCACTCTGCTGTCTTGCTGAGAATAGATTTCTGAGAGACCTAGGGCAGGAAGAGGTCAGCTAACTAGGAGACCATTGCCATATTTCAAACAGAAATGATGGTGGCTTGGACCAGAATGGCAGCTGAATGGGTGGTGAAAGGTGGTCAAAGTCTGGATAATTTTTTCTGAAGAGGTGGTAAGAATTGCCAACAGATTCAATATAGAGTGGGAAAGAAAGATAGGAACCAAAATGACTCCTAGACTAGAAAAATATATGTAGAAGGCATTAACTGACATGGTGAAGGCATCAGGGAGAGCCCACTGAGGAGATAATATCAAGATCTCAGTTTTTGGTGTTCTTTAATTAGACGCCTACTAGGTATCTAAGTACAGTTATAAAATAAACAGTCTTACCTGTTGGTCTGGAATAGAGAGAGTTCCAGTTTGATTACTAGGAGACCTTTTATAGCCTGGAAGAGAAGTCAACGTTGTGAGTATATAAATGTAAAAGAGGAGAGGTGCAAGGGCTGAGCCATGAGATACAGAAATCAGGAGTATTACATGTTCCTATTAGGTGGAATAAGTTAGAATTGAAACAGTGGCCATTAAGTTTAGCACCATTGGTATAATTTTATGTTAAGATTCACAAGAAAGAATAAATACTTGAGACAAGCCAAGGGAAATGTGAAAAATTGTGATTAGGACATACCTTACTAGATATCAGAGCATAGTATGTATATCCTCTGTAATTAAATCCATGCTGAATTGATAGGGCAGTGGACAAAGAGACCACAGTTGAAAACGCAGAGTGTTATCTCAATATATATAAATATTTATTATATAATACAGTTCTCTTCAGGAGTAGAAGGATGATATTATTTAATAAATGAGGCTATTCCAAATGAATATTCAAGAAAATAAAATGATTCTGAAGATTAATGACTTAAATATGAGAAATTAAGCAGTAACCATCTTGTAAAAAAATAGCAGACCATGTATATACTATCTGGGTGAATATTATAATTCATATCCTAAAAATAGAAAAGAGCTCTTATAAATTGACTAAACAACAAACATGTTAATAGAAAAAAAATGAGTAAGAAGTGTGAACAAGCAGTTTACAGAAGAGCACATTAATCGGCCAATAGACTAAGAAAAATGCTTAAGTTTATTAGTATCAGGGAAATGAATCAATGAATATTGATCGTTGGCAGAAAAAAAGAAAAAAGAGACCAAACTACTATTGCTAACAGAGTTACAAGGGAAAGAAGATGTTCATAATATTGCCATAATGCTGCTTTTTTCCCTGTAATATTGCTAATGTGATGGCACAAAAAGTTTCTATCCAGGGAGAAACATGTAATGAAAAGTTTGGTTTATTTGTACTTGGAATACCACTGTATGGCTTAGGCACTTAGTAGCACCATAGCTAGTGTAGACAATTCACATAAGCTCTTGAAGACTCAGTTTCTTCATTGTGAGATGGAGATGATCATCCTTTGCTGATGACTTTTCTCTGAAATTGAATATCATATAATGTGTTTGCTAGGTCTTGGGAATTATACAGAGTAGTTCAGAGACTATTAGGACAGGCCATGAACTTTTCAGTACCTGAGTCCTAGAGCAAGTTATACAAAGTTTGGCATGTATATGGAAATAAAATATACTTTAAGATGTAAGGAAGGGATTTGTAAAGAATGCTTGATATATATATATATATATTTTTTTTTTGGTTGCATTGATTATTGGGTCTCAGTTTTTTAGGCATAGGACAGCACTGTCCAATAGAACTTTCTGTAATGGTGAAGATGTTCTGTGATCTGTGTGCTTTCCTTTACAGTAGCCACTGGTTGCATGAGGTTGTTTGGACATTTGAATGTGTTAGTGCAACTGAGGAACTGAATTTTTAAAATTGTATTTAATTTTAATTAATTTAACTTTCAACTTACAAAGCTACATGTGGACAGTACTTTATGGGACAGGACAGGAAATCCAGGCTACACACACCTATAAAATATAATTTGAGGCAGATTATAGTGAAATGACAAATAAATTACAATCAGAAGTATGTGGGATTTGTATTTGCCAAGACATAAAGTGGATATTAAAATGTTATTGGGTAAACCAAAGATGAGAATAAGATCTTTAACACAGAACTGTTAACACAAGATAGGATATTCATTTGAGGAAAGAATTTATCCAAAGACGACTGTAGAAGATGAACGTTCAGACTTCTCAGCCAGAAGTCTGGATATGCTGCCTGGGTGATTTCCCAGACTAGCTTTTGCTTTTTCCGCAGAGTCTTTGCTGCCCAATACAGTGTTCCCGTTGCACTCCGTGTCTTCACTCCTCTCCAGGCCGTATCCCTGGCTTCTCCCTTTTCTCTGTTGTGATTCTTTGTTGTGGTTTTCAGTTTATTCGCCTGTAAAATGGATCACATGTCTGTCTTCAAGGACCTTTCCTCTTTTAATATTCTAGGAGCTTTTCAGGAGCTAGCTTATTTTTCATGGACTTCATCTCAGGGGTGTGGTGATTTAGGGATCAGGATGAGAAAGGACTCTGTAGGCAGTGGTCTCAGCCTCCATATGGGGACGTCTCTCAGCAGCACCAATCAGTAGGTAGCCTTTTTGAGGTTTGGGAGTTTGTATCTGCCTTGACTTTTGCTTGCTAGCTCTGAGATATTTTCTAGTTGAGGATTCAGCATTCAGCCTTGCATATTTCCATTTATTTTATCAACAAGCCAAACCATTTTAACATTAGATATCTCAAATAACTAATGTGCAAGCTCATGTTATAATTACTGTATGTAAGCTTACTTTTCATTGTTAGTTTGTTTCTACTGTACTTTGTATAAGATAGTTGGAAACAAAAAGAAGAACTTGCTTTTTTACAAAGAACTATTTGATTGTCAATATATTTTTTACACCTCTTTTTTTTTTTTTTTTTTATAGAGTCCCGTGAAGATAAATCAGATTAGCCTGGATGAAAGTGGAGAACACATGGGTGTGTGTTCAGAGGATGGCAAGGTATGGCAAGCTTGTGGTCACGTTGCAAGTTGTGCTCCAGCACCAGCCCCAGGTGGTTGGAAAAGCACTCTGCTTACTATATACCTGCATTAAGACAACTTTGATTATTTTTTCCATTTTTGAGTATTGGACTTGCTTCCAATTGGTCATAATTAAAGTAAAATATATTTTGCACAAATGTGCCTTAGGAAAAGTAATTACAAGAATGTCAATAATGTTACTAGTATTAAGCTGATTAACAGCTGTGGCAGGGTGACGTGTCACCTTAATCATTACTGCTGTGCCACTTATACTTCAGTGACTAGTCTGCAGTTCCTGCAGGACGGTAGTTTAATGCCTTTCTGCCATAAATCCACAAAATTGGATTTTGTGGGCATGATTTCTGTGGGCTGGTGGTTTTCATTTTCACACACAAGTTATGAATGTTTCTCTTGAATTATAGAATCTTTTGATAAGCAATCATAGTTTATCAGAAGAATAAAGCGTCTTACAATGGCCACATTAAATAAATGTAAAATCAATATATGTACAGTTTTCTAAAAACCTGGCACCTACTTCCTTGACTGAAGACATACATCATTTGTGCAGTGTATAACTAACAATTATCAGCACTTCTTGCTGATGTTGAGCTGTGACATTTAGTGGTTGTGGTGATTGATTTTCCACTTATAAGAATGTCTTTTTTGTTTTTAAGTCGATGAAAACCTTTTCTAATGTTGGTTTGCAATGATAAAATTCTAATGCACAGTGTATTTAAGCTACTTTTTGAAAATAACAGTTTGAGAGTGCATTAAGATCATTATAGATCTTTACATATTCCTTACTGAATAGAACAGATTTCCTAATCTAATTTTGTTTTTTCATGTGCTCTAAATTCAATGGGCCATTAATGTGGGTGAATTAAAAACAATATACTCACAGTATAAAAGAGATATACCCATTTAATCTGTTAACAAAGCAACATGAGGTTCCCTCATCATACAAGAATGCATTTTATATATATCTAAGCCTAATATTGCCCAAAGAGTCTTTTGAAACAGTAATTGGAACACTATTGCTTTTCAAAAAGTACTGTCAAATTTTACAGTACTTTCTGAAATTCTGAGATTGTCATGATTGTCAAAGAGCAATAAGGGAGGAGTAGGTTTGCACAGAAATTGAGAAGAATTATCTACATTGTTAAAACATTTTTTGTGCTAAAGTATTTGTAAAGAAATGTAATTTTCTTTTTGTTTTCTTGAAGGTAAATAATTCTTTCTGGGATATATCGATTTAATTGAACTAATTTGTTAGAAGACAGTATTCATTTTTAGAATTGGAAATACTTTTTTTTCCTTTTTTTTTTTTTTTTTTGTAGAGACAAGGTTTTGCTATGTTGCCCAGGCTGATCTCAAACTCCTGACCTCAAGTGATCCTCCTACCTCAGCCTCCCAGAGTACTGGGATTATAGGTGTGAGCCGCCTCACTTCTCCTGGAAATAAATTTTTACTGAGATATTTCATTTAAAAATTCTCAGAACTTTCAATGTTGAAGAATTATTATTTAATGCATCAAAAATGGACAATTTTAACTATTCATCTGGTATATGATGAGATGACCCTCAGATATCTTCTTGTCAAACACCGGTCTTAGTAAAATTTATAACTGTCATATTTTTGTATAGACTCATGATATATCCTGAAGAATGATTTTCTCATATTTTTATTAGCATTAATAGAATTGAAAAGGAGTCTTTCAGTGCATATATTTATGTAAGTTAACCCTTATCATGGGTTAGTCAGTACTGTGAAAATTGAGAAGCTAGTATAGAATGACTTGGTAAAGTGTTTAGGGTTGATCAAAACATAAAGATATTTGCAAAGATAAATTCCAGATATCTAGATCTAATGCATCTTTTAAATAGCTTTTGCGGGTTTTTTTCTTTCTTCAGTGTGTCATGGCTCCTAGACAAATAATTATTTATTTGATTATTCCATGGATAACCTTTGATATTTGCATTTAGTTTTTAAATCATATTTCTTGCAGTTGTTTAAAATTTACTATGTTTATTCAGCTGGTGCTGTTTCTAATCTTTTTTTATCATGACTTTTCTATTCTTGAGTTCTAAAGTTTAAGATACACACATACTTCCTGATTCAGGTTTTTTTTTTTTTTTTTCTTTTCATTAATCAGTAGTTTTTATTATGGTTTTGTGGGGTACAGTTAAGGATAGGTGTACAATGACGTTTCATTCAGGCACCCTGTAGATAAGAAGTGTTTTCCCATCCCCCGACAGATATTTGCTACTGTTAATCCCATCCCCCTCCCCCCCATAGTTTCCCAGTACCATCCGTCATTTTCTCATAGTATTGCATTCGATGTTCAAGGTCCATTATATGAGTGAGAACATGTGATATTCGGATTTTTGTTTTTGTGAGAGGTCACTCAGTATTATAGACTCTAGTTCCATCCAGGTTGCAGCGAAATTCATGATTTTGTTCTTTTTTATGGCTGCGTAGTATTCCATCGTGTATATGTACCACATTTTTTTAATCCAGTCCTCTTTTGATGGGCAGCATGGTTGTTTCCAGGTTCTTGCTATTGTGAACAATGCTGCGATAAACATACGTGTGCAGGTATCTTTTTTATAGAGTGATTTGTGTTCTTCAGGGTATATTCCCAGTAGGGGGATTGCAGGGTCATATGGAAGGTCAATTTTTAGAGCTTTTAGGAATCGCCACACTGCTTTCCACAGAGGTTGCACTAGTTTACACTCCCACCAACAGTGTAGAAGTGTTCCCTTTTCACCACACCCTCTCCAGCAGCTGTTATTTTTTGAGTTGTTGATAATTGCCATTCTGACTGGAGTTAGGTGGTATCTCAGTGTGGTTTTGATTTGCATCTCCCTGATGATTAGTGAGGTTGAGCATTTCTTCATGTGTTTGTTGGCTGCTCGAATGTCTTCTTTTGTGAAGTGTCTGTTCATGTCTTTTGCCCATTTTATAATGGGGTTGTTTGTTTTCTTCTTTTCAGTACGTTTCAGTTCCTTGTAGATCCAGGATGTTAAGCCTTTGTCAGACCTAGAGTTGGCAAATACTTTTTCCCAGTCTGTAGGCTGTCTCCCTGCTCTCTTGATGGTTTCTTTGGCTTTGCAGAAGCTTGTCAGTTTAATAAGGTCCCATTTGTCTATCTTCTCTCTTAAGTCCTGTGGGTTTCGGGTTTTGTACAGGAATTGGATGCCAGTTCCGATTTCCATGAGAGTATTTCCTTCCTTTTCTAAGGTTCTTATGGTTTGAGGTTTTACATTTAGGTCTCTGATCCATTTAGAGTTAACCTTTGTGCATGGGGAAGAATAATTTTTTTAAACAAACCTAGTCCAATATCATAGGAAGCATTAGCTATTTTCTATATATGAAATTTTAAAGTGGTTGTGTGTACAAAGAAATTCTGTCTTTAATGGATCACTAGTTTTTAGTGGGAAAATGAATAAATACATAAATGAATGTGTTTCTTGTGAAGATCTTTATACTTGGGTGTGAAGATTGCAGGTTATTGCACATGACAAAATAAAACGTATTAGTGGAGGAGGGGAGAAAGAGAGCTTATCATTCATTCATCGCACAAATACATGTTGAGCTCCTGCTGTGTGCGGGACCGTACTGGCACAGGGAAGGACAGACTTCTTTGAGGCGAGATCCTTAAGTTAGTGGAATGCATTCCTTTCCCTCCTGTAACCCTATGTGGTTGTGTGTATTTATGTAGACATACAGTTTATATTTCCTGGACCACTTGGTCAAGGCCCTGCAGAAGATGTTCCTTCATGAGCTCACAATCCCAGTCCTACAGTTGGGTGTGCTGATTTCAGATGCTGTAGTGGAAAGCAAGAGTCTCGCAGACCTCTACCACCTACGGTGGGTACACTTTCTTTACTTTCGGGAAAATATTTAAGTGGCTGGAATGAAAATTTCCCCAAGATGATATAAAAAGGAACAGCATTTTAAGATATTAATTCTCTAATTGATTATTTGTGTAACTAATGAAGTTCCAAAGATTTGATTTGTACACCAAATAAATAAAAGTACCTGAATATAAATTTATAGATATATTTTGTTTGTTTGTTTGTTTTTTGAGTTGGAGTCTCACTCCGTCACCCAGACTGGAGTGCAGTGGTACGCTCCTGGCCACCGCAGCCTTGACCTGCTGTGCTCTAGCGATCCTTCCACTTCAGCCTTCCAAGTAGCTGGAACTACAGGCACGCGCTACCATGCCCGGCTAATTTTAAATTTATTGTAGAGATGAGGTCTCACCATCTCTACAACCGCACAATCTCTCGAACCCGCGGACTCAGGCAATCTACTCCCCTCGGCCTCCCAAAGCACTGGGATTATAGGCTGAGCCACTGAGCCTGACCTAAAGTTATATTTTTGTTTTAACATTTCTACCTCATCTTTCAGAGAAGATTCTTATTTTAAGGAAATACAGGCATAACTTGAAGATATTGCAGATGCAGTTCAAGAACAAAGTGAAAATTAGAATAAAGGAAGTCACATTAACTTTTTGATTTCCCAGTGTATATAAAGTTATCTTTACACCATGCTACAGTCTATTAAGTATACAATACCATTATGTATAAAAAGGTACATAGTTTAATTAAACATTTTATTGCTAAAAATGCTAGCAGTTGCTTAAAATCATAAACATTGAATTTTGCCAAATTGATTGACTCTTCCTTTCATAAAAAAAATTTCTCTAAGGCTTGTGATGTTTGATTGTATTTTACTCACAGCAGAACTTCTTTCAAAATTGGAGTCAGGGCAACCCCTTCGGGTCCCCTCCCACTGTGGGAACCTTTCTGTCCTCTCAATACGTCCTGCTTTCTCACTTAAAAAAAAAAATTAGAGTCAATCTGCTCAAACCTGCCACTGCTTTATCAAATAAGTTCATGACATATTCTAAATCCTGTGTTGCTATTTCAACAATGTTTACAGCATCTTCACCAGAAATAGATTCCATCCCAACAAACCACTTTCTTTGAGTAGCCATGAGAAGCAACTCCTCATTTGTTCAAGTTTTATCATGAGATTGCCGCAATTCAGTCGTATCTTCAGGCTCCA